TATATTAAATGTAAATATCTGATTCAAATTAGCTCTAAAAACGCTCCACTTTTATATCTAACAGTGACCAATTAAGAAGTTATTTCTGGTGATCTTTCACATAGCCAACATCGGCGAGCATTTATAATTTTGAAAGCGATGCGGTTTCTAATTTCAACCCTGGGAAATAGTGAGTAGGAAATTGTCACGATCTTGAGCTATATGGACAACGGCAAGTTTATTCCCACAGGTTAACTGGCAAAACAATCTTGCCAATTAAAATTAACTCTATTATTACAAGTAAATTTAATAGAAAAAAAATTCCCAACAAAAACCAACAATTTGTTTCACTTCCAAGGAAAACGGTATTTTGATACTTTTTCTAAAGCCTGTGTAAAAACCGGTTTGATTGCATGGCTAAATATAGCTTTCTCGGGAAGTCCGAATTATAAAGAAGGCGAAACATACAAGGTCGTAATGAGATATACATAACAGACATTAGTAGATCTGAACGTCAGTCAGATTGTACATTTTAATAACATGTTTAATGCTTGAATACATTTAAAATACTCTTTAACTAGATTGTAATTTACCTTTACAGGTATAATTTAAGTTTTTGTTCTTATTATTGCAAGAAAAAAATAAATACAGTTTTTGATTTAAAAGAGAATTTGTTCTTTTTGTGACCGTATCAATCCGAATATTTCGCGTCTAAAAATAACATTTTAAAATGGCTACAAAGGGAGTCACTGATGCATACCGTAACTAATTCAAATTGCAACATTTAAAGAGGAAGTTTTAAAGACGTAAATCTAGTAGTGATTTATCGGGTAGTTATATATCTATCCGTGTTTTGCTTTTTATTTGTTTGTTTTTTTTGTGTTGTTTTAGGAATGTTTAGTGATATTACCTATTTTCTTTCACGTTTTCAAACAAGGAAAGCGGATATTAGTATTGTGTAAATTCTTTTAGTTAAGGTACTTGGTACTAATTGTCTTATATATTTTATCATCATTTATGTTAAACGTCTTATACAAAGGACATACTATAAGCATCACTTTGATTTTTGAGCATAAAGTTATAACCAATGAAATGTAAAATAATAAAAAAACAGCATCGTTTAGTTATGCTAAACATGTGAATTCGAGAGAATTCCGATAGCTTGTTAACATTATTATCGATATGTATATTATTCTCATTTTCTAGACTGCTTTACACATACTGTTTTCTAAAGAAACGTCATTATTTATACTAGTACCGTTTGTTGATATGGTATTTACTTGTAAGTTCTTGTACTCTATGATAATTTGTCTTTAAGAATACAAATGTGTGATTTCTCCTTAAAACATGTTCCTTAAATTTCATGAAATTAATGCAGATATAATTTGTTGACATTTTTTTTTAAATTGTCTCCTAGTCTCTACAACTTCTTCTGGCTTTGTCAGCATACTCGTTTTTGTACGCACACACTACTTTTCGTGACCAAAAGCAAATTTTGGGACAACGAGTCTTACTTTATTTTGAATAGTACTTGCCAATTCTATGAGAACGTTGTAAAGAACTAGTAATTGTTTCTAGGCGTTTCCAATGTTTAGTTTGTTTTCAATCAAGTCATGGTTTATCAACATTTTCTGAGAGGGTCTTTCCATCAACTTCAGGTATCAAAAAAAAATATTGTCCCGCATACTTTATTGAAGGACTATTTTAAAACATTTGATTTTAATAAAGAAAATACATTAATAAAATGGACAGATAGATAAATAAATAAATAAATAAATAAATTAATTAATTAATTAATTAATTAATTAATTAATTAATTAATCAAAAGCGTCATAACTTTTATTGAACTTTATTCGTCTTTAATCAAATCTCTTAACATGTAGATTTATTAAATACTTTGAGTCTGAATACTTACTTTTATGTAGAGACTATCCTCTTTTATAAAATATTAAATATATATTTTTCGCGGATCCATGGATAAAATAAAGAAAAGGATATACTATCAAATTGTCGTCGATTGGACCTTATAATTATGATTGAATATTTTTTGAACAGCCATACAAACCATGACGCAATGCAAGTGCAGGGAAATGATTTGTTTAATAATAATATAATTGATAGCAAATGTATATTTTTTTCTTACATTTGTACCAAGTAAAGTAAAGCTGGAACGTCGCGATATGACATAAACTGTGTCGATGTGACGTAAACCCCAATCAGGCGAACAAATAGTTGCATGTTTGATACCATGATACATTTTAAATGTTCCTTAAGTAAATTATTATTTACTTTTAAAGGCATGAATAACGATTTGTTAGTATTTGCTAAGAAGATAATAGAGTTTATGAATTAAAAGCGGTTTTGTTCTCTTTTGATCGTATCAATCCGAGTATTTTTGAGTCTAAAAATAATCTTTTAAAGGGAGTCACTGATGCATAGCGTATCTATTCAAATCACAACATTGAAAGAGGAAGTTTTGAACCGGTTTATTTGTGATTGATTTATCAGGTATTTATATAAGGTATTTATATTTTATATCTTTTGATTGTTGTTGTGAATGATTAGTGATATTTCTTAATTTATTTCGCTTTTTTAAACAGGAATAACGGGCATTGTAGTGATTCTTCCAATACAATCATAAAGATATAATCATAAGCTTCTTTTCGTTTAAGTAAAATTGTACATTTAAAACTCTGTTTGACAATTTCGATATGGCTAACATATTTTATTGTAATGAATACAAATCACGAATACAAAATACAAACTGTATGTTTATGATAATTATTTAGTGACGCGACGGCCAAGTCCACTATTACGGTGTAAAACAGTTATCATATTGTAATTATGATCTTTTAACGATATGAATTAAAATATCAACAACGTAACGCAGTAGGTAAGGCTGTCAGTTAAATATCTAGTTGAATATCAATGCAAGACCGGTTTGGTTCGCAAAAATTATTAATGTATAAGGAATATGTTTTTGTACTTGTAAGGATTACGAGAGTTGTGTTTATTTTTTATTTACTTCTCATTTTAATTTTTAATTTTTTTTCAATGTAGGCATATCTAGCAAGTTGATGAAACCATATACTGTACACAAATTGTTTCAACTATAGTTCAGTTTGCACGAAATACTCGTGCACTGCATAAGTATTATCACTATTACTTACTCCACAAAACACAAGATAAAAATATTATTCCAGGTTTACTAAAATTATTAAAAATTATAATAAAATTACCTTGATATTCCAATTTATGTGCATCTATCATAAATTTTGAGATAAATAGGGAAAGAAAAAAAAAGAAAAATGTTAGACAACATATGAGGCTCGAACTCGAGATAAAGTTTTATATCGTATCACATCCCAACGACTTTGCCAACTTTGCCAAGAAGACATTGAAAATTCTACTCCTTATTTTGTATTATATTGTCTTCTTAAAAAAACTATTTTACCTATTCAGGCAAAGATTGTAAACTTGTGTTTACACAAAAAATGCAACGTCACTCTCACATTATCATAGCGGCACAGTACCTTCAGTATTATTCTTTTTTTAAGCTAAATATATAACAAAACAAAAAGAAGAAGAATTAAAGCAGCATCGTTAGTTATGCTAAATTATATGTTTTCCGTAAGTTGATCACATTATTATCTATATAAAGAATTGTCACTTTTAGAATTGCATATATGAATTCGGGATAATGTTGTATAAGGAAACGTCAGCATTTATACTAGTATTGATTGTGGATATGGTATTTACTGGTAAGTTATTTTACTTCATGATAAGTTGTACTATAAGAATATAAACATGTGAATTTCTGTTAATATATGTTCTTTGAATTTCCTAAATACATCTATAAAATGTTGACTTTTAAAAGTTTATTTATTATTATTCCTAAGTTTTTGTGGTCAAGTTTAGAATTTTAAATTTTTATCAACAAAATCCGACTTAGCATATTTGTGGGTTCTTTACATTGTAAATGTGGAAATATATATAACTCAAAACAATGTAAATATACAAATTAGAGAATTTAAGTTGATAAGTTGATTAATGTTTTTTTTTTTTCGTTTATTAAATGCATCTTTAGATATTTAAAACCTCTACTTAATTATCTTATGATATTCATGGTTTGTATATTTCATTTATAATTATAATTACCGAATATTGTACATTTGGAAATGTATATAAAACTGCATATTTATATGTAAAAGGGCAAAAACAAATATCAATATTTACAGAATGTTCTTTTGGCTGTCAATCATGCTCTGGTTCAACTTGTACAAGTTGTGAATCATCTTACTTTTTATCAAATGGCTTCTGTTCACCATGTCCTCCAGATTGTGCAAAATGTAACAACTTCGATGACTGTACTTTGTGTAATAAGCCAAATAAATATGGTTTTAGATGTACTTTCAACTGTGATGGTAATTGTCTAAATGGGGAATGTCAGTCTAAAACGGGAGATTGTACGCAATGTAGGCCCAATTTATATGGATTTAAATGTCAACACAATTGTAGTTTATGTGAAAATGAACGTTGTGATTTACGTAAATGTTCAAGTGGTTGTAAAGATGGATATTTTATCGCTAAACGCGGTGTCGAGACAATATGTGAACCTGTCTGTCAAATTGTAAACATTGTACGGATGTGAAAACATGTTATATTTGCAATAATGGTTTTTACCTCTATAAGTTTTATGGCAATGTTTACTGTGTGCAATGTCCGGACTGTGTTATTCAAGGTTGTAACCAGTGTCAAATACACAATGGTTCGTTAGTCTGTGCTGATTGTCCAGAGGGACAGATATTCAATGGTGAGACATGCGGATCACACACATTATTGTGCTCAAAAGTATGTTCTACGAATTGTGATAGTACTGGAATATGTCAAGGGGAATGTAATGAGGGTTGGACTGGTGACAAATGTTCCAAACAATGTAACAGAAATTGTTTAAAGTGTTCAAAAAATGACGGAAGTAGTTGTCTACTGTGTAAAGGTAATTTTTACTCAACCAATTGCAGTTTAGCCTGCAACCCGGCATGCATAGTAACAAGTGGTAAACATACATGTGAACATGCAGGCGGATATTGTTTAAACGGATGTAACCAAACATTTTGGGGCGATACCTGTGATAAATCTTGTCCTGGTGGATGTAAAGATCTGAGATGTGATAGAAACACCGGTACATGTACGGATGGATGTAAGGATGGACTGACTGGAGATAACTGTACTCAAACTACCACAATCGGTAAACAATCTGCAAATTATTACTGTCAAAATAATATATTACTAAGTCTTTGTTTTTTACCCCGTTTTACTGGTAGTATAGTGGCATTTAATAGATATTGGTCGGAAAGACTGTTTTAGTTATTTTAGTTGTCCAGTTCTGAAATTGAACACTCAATATCGAGATTACGAGTCTCTCGCTCCATCCGACTGAACTTGATCTTAGACAACTACTAATGCAGTCTATGACGAGAACATTGTTTCAGTAATCATTCAAGCAGAGTAAGCATTATATCTAATGCACGTTAATGTTATATCTACAGAAACATCAGAAACAACAACACAATCAGCCGAACCTGTAACCCAACAACAAACATGTGCACGGTGTGACAATAAAGATAGTAATTTTACCATTGGTTATTTCTCTGGATTCGGCTCTTGTGCTGCCATAGTAGTATTTGCTGTGTTGTTTAACCACATTAGACGAAGGTAAATGTATTCGCTAATTAAATACTACACAACATTTTTGTCCTTAATGCAAAACAAATTCTATTTATAAATGAGAGAAATAATAATAATAATAAATAATAATTAATAAATAATTAATTTTGTTGGTTGTTACTTGCTTTTTTACCTATAACTAAAAATTGACTTTAATACTAAATTAAGTTCTACGCTTTACACAGGTATCTTGCAAGTAAAACGCCCCAAGACAACAAACATAACGTTGAGATTCCAACATATTATAACACTAGAACTGATTTCGGCGCTGTAAATGCTGAGTCAGCTGATGTAACAAATAATTACGAGAGTTTGAGTAATAACAGGACCACGGATAATTTATACAATGGTAATTGTTATGTGTTTACTTGATTTACCTAGAATTATGATAATTCTAAGTACTTGATGTCTTGATTGTTGTTCATAATTATAATTTATTTATTATGATTAATTAATTAATTAATTAATTAATGTTATATTATGTTATGTACTTATTTACTTATTGATGTATTCATTCATGTATTTATTTATTCATTCATTTATTTATTTATTCATTTATTTATTTATTCATTTTTCTATTGTTGTTCATAATTATTATTTATTTATTTATTTATCAATTAACCAATCGATTAATTAATCAATTAATGCTATATTTATTTATATATTTATTTATTAATGTATTTGTTTATTTTCAGATCTAGGAACAACATTGTCATAGACGTAAGAGAAATGAGTTTTAGTGAAAACAACAGAATGAATTGTTACTGTATTTGTTGTTCCTAGGGTGATTGATGCATATAATTACTATTCTTATATAATCACTTTGGAGACGGTTTATATTTATAATAAGCTAGTTGTATTAGGGAATAAAGCACTATTTCCTTCTAGCAGTATTTTAACATGCAAAATACGACAAAAATGTGTTTTTCAAAATTATTTAACCTTGTAATTGTAAAAAGTTTATAAACGGATTTTCTCGAATATTTCAATTCCATATTTACGAATAGCTTGGAATTAGATTTCGAAAAGATAACACTTATCGATATGTAAAGTTCACAACACAAATATAATTGAAATGTAAAGTTTACTACAGTATGGTGAAAGTAAGAAGCCGGCAAAATGTTCGGTTGTTTAAGCTTTATAAAATCACACTTCATAAATGTTTTCAAAAATATTTTAATGCTAACATTCATCCAAATGCGACATTTGGTCGTATCAATATCTTTACTTTAAGAAAATAACAGTTAAAACAGCTATAAGTGTATATTTCAATATATCATATCATTTAAATGTGTTTTAATTAATGTTTGTATAATTGGTATTGGCTTTCAAATCCTGATCACATGTTCGACATCTTTTAAGAATGGTCATCTTACTTTTTATCAAATATTGTTTTTCGTACATTTATATAGATTGTTAACATTGCTTCCAATAACTATACTTCATGTAAACAAAAATTAAAATTATATGGTATTCATGTAAGTTAAACGTTTTACCTGTGATGTTAATTGTCTAAATAGTAAATATGTAGAAGATCCGGTATAGTGTTACCAATTCAAGCCTGGTTTCTATATGCGTATATGCAAGGTTGTAGATCTTGGTATTATCAGTATGGTAGATATATATTTTCAAAATAGTACAGGGGTTCGTGTATGTATATACCGGTTTCTATAAACACGTACATTATGGATATAATAATAGTTGTTAAACAAAACATTTTTTACCTAAAATATTGATACAAAATGTCGATAGATTAAGATAATTATAGGACCTGGTAAGCATTAAGAATAAATACTAGAAAGCGAGCATCGGTTTGTCAATAAAAAGACAACGCAACAGAGTACATATTGGTTAAACCCTAATTTGATAATACTTTCTTGAACTTCTGAAAAGAATATATAATAATAATACATTGTATTCCGATATATCATGAAACATTATGTTAAATTTAAAAAAAAAAAATTAGGCTCTCTAGTTCTTGCATGTAACTTTACGTAGTATAATATATTCATGCAAGTACATATACTGAAGTTATTATCACTTATCACATCTACGTCGCGCATAATTGACCTCTGTATACTTTTGCTGACATTTTGCTTATATTTTCATTGTTAAGTTGAGATGACTTAATTCATTATATATTTTCAAGAGTTACTAATAGTGATTGTCCAACAGTTGATACTGGAACATGTTTAAGTACCTTAAATGTAAAGAGACTGCCGAACTCTTTTTATAAATATATGTAATAGATAATTTCAGACGGGAATCTTTATAAACCTACTCGGGCCATGTGAGTTATTTATCGTCCATGCAAAGTAAATTTGTTTACCCACTGTACACCTTTGGAGGGGCATTTGGATTTGACAATAGCTCGATTAACGCTATATACTCGTGTATGATAAAGCAAAAATGGTTGTGAAACGTTTTCCCTTTCACTGACCAAATACGGTCCTATAGCATGTATTCTTGGTATACAGTCGAAAGACATTAAATGAAATATGTCGTGTGTTTTTTTTTTTTGGAACAATGAACTTTCTTTCTCACTTTTAAAATGTTGTGGATTCAGTAAACGATGCACCTCATGCACGCCGTCCGAAAACTGCAGCTTCGCCAAATATGGTTGAAAAGGTAAAGAATTTGATTGATGCATCCGGATGCAAGATTTACAACTAAGTAAATAGCTAAATGCGTTAGTACCTCTGTAGGGATCGCTCATACAATTATTCGACGTGATTTAAAAATGAAAAAGATAAGTGCAAGATGGATACGCCATTTCATTACAAAAGAGGAAACACTTGCTCGGGTAAGAATCTTCAAACAATTACTGAAACAGTTCCCTAAATACAACAATCGATCTTTCGTAAATATCATCACTATCACTGGCGTTCACTTTAATGAGTCCAAGAGAAAAATACATAACAAAATATGGGCAATCAAAGGTCCCGCTTTGCAAATTGTCGTACCAAAGAGTAAATCTGTAAAAGACAAGTTTTACAAAGCAACATCCTTCATAAATAAAAACGAATATTTCAAAAACCGTCGACCAGCAACTGGTCTCCGTGGTGTCGATTTGTTACAGGACAATACTTCGTCAACGAAAGCGGCCATTGTACGAGAATATCTGAAACAATGACAATGACAATGTTAAAAAAAATATCTGATTCTACCCTCCGGCCCATATCAACAAAACATATACATTACAAGCATAACATGATGTAGTGCCAGTGTACTATATAGATCAAATACAATTTATAACTACTAGTATAAATGTATATAAATTGACAGAAATAAACTATTCTAACATATATGTGTAGTATTCACCCGCCAGAATGTGTAGATACGTAAATAATTATATATTTAAACAATATCATTTAGCATCATTTTACGTTCTTGAAAAGCACAATATGAAAACACTGCCAATCTCATTATAATATCTACATTTTTCGATGACCTCAAAATATTGAACTTATTAATATTATGTGACTGATAGAATTTAGATGGGATATATTTCTCTCTAAATGATGTTAATCTGGGACGTTTTAAAACAAAATGAAATTCAGTTTCAATTTCAGTTTAACAAAGTTTGCATATTCTTTGACTTCTTTCAGGGTTAGAATACCTTCCTCTTTCTATTTCTAAGTCATGTGAAGAGGTCCTTAATGTACCCAATGCATTTCTAATTTTTTTAATTGTTATACAATCCAAATATATTTCATGTTCAAAAGTTAACTTATAATTTGCATACAATGACAGTTTAGAACTAGTTCCCACATCAGAATACCAAGTTTGAAGATACTGATCCTTAAGTCTAAGAGTAAATTGATGAAGGAATTATTTCCCATTGGGTACACTCTGATCAAACCAAAATTGTCCAAATCCATTTCTCATAAGTAGATTTTTAACATATGTTTCCCAATTTTTTTGTCCATAGTTATCAAAACATTTCATCATATTGTATGCTTATTTTTACATATCTTTGTTCATCCATCTTTTAGATTCTACACCAATATTTAATAACTCTTTAAGCAATTGTAATAAACATTGGATGTCTGTCACAATCCCCCAAAATAGCTATATTAATTGTTTCTGACTAAGGCACATATATCTTTTACATGCATAATTTTGAATGGATTCAGTGAATTTTTGCTAACTAGCACCTCAAATCTCGCTCCCATATAACAAAATTGGACTGATTTTTGTATCAAATATTTAGAAGAATGCATGTTTTGGAAGTTGTCCAGACTCATACAATTTGTTTAGAATAGATATAAGAAATCGTTTAGCTTTGATACTTTTGTCCTGTGCCATATAAGAAAAGACAGTTTGGTTGCGAAAGTGTTGCCTACATATGAAAACTTTGATACAGTTTCTAATCTGTTATCTTAAAAAAAACACTTTTCTCTATTTGAACTCATAAAAATCTTTCTCCAAAAAGCTTTTGGATTTTTGCATTTTTCGATCAGCTCATTTAACTGTTTTTCATTATATTCCTGTTTTTTTTTTGTTCACATATGTTCTTAAATCTTTTCCTAGAAAGTTTAAATTAATTTAATAATACTTCAGTTTTATTCCTCCTATAATTTCTTAAACACCTATTTTTCTGATATTTTAACTCAGTACAGTATTTATCAAACCATTTTGGTTGTTTTAGCAATGTATGGTACAATTTAGTTTTCTCAAACAACAACTAGCACAGTCTAAAGAAAATCATTAAAAGATTTCACAATTTGTTAAATGTCTGTTTCTGTGTCACAAATTCTACTACATATATTAACGTCTAATAATCCGTAATTCATAAGTAATTGATACGATAATGTTGAGTATTTTCCTCACTAAAATTGTAATATACCCTAGGCTAGCTTTATTTTGTTTCAAACTAACTTCTGTAACACTGTCAGTAACACCAATATTAGATCTTAATTCAAAACGTACAGAAAAATGAGGTGATTCAGTACGTGTTCCAATTTGAAATGAAGTAATATACTGTATAACATCGTCAGAAACAATAAGATTATAAATAACACTACTCCCAGTGGATCCAATATATGTGAACTCACCTATATCCCTATCATCAAAAACGTCCATTAACAATTACAGAAATTAAGTAAATTATGACCAAAAGAGTTTGTCTTGAGATCACAAGACTTTCTCTCATTAATTGCTTCATCTGTAGCAAAAAATTCTGAATAGCCATCAATATCAGGAGAATTTATATAACACTCTAAAGTATCTTGCAAATTTCCTGTCCGAGCATTAAAATCACCTGTAACATAATATCTTACACCCATTATCAAATATATTTAGTACATAGTCTTCAAGCATATCTATACCTTTATTTAACTTATTTACATAGTAAGGAGACTGTTTTGGAGGCAAATGTCACAGGGTCATTTTGTCTTTGCTAGAATACTCTGTAATTCATACCCATACTCTATATCATTCCCCTATCGTCTCTTTTTCAATCATTCATATCATTATTCAACTTCATACTAATAACTTCATTTGACCTGTAACACGTTGACGGGCCTCATTCACTTCATTTTTGAATTCGGTCACGCTAACCTTTACGCATGCGCACAAGAAATGAGAACTTTTAGCGAGAGCTGTTGTTTTTCATTGACTCCGTATTTCTATCTTATTGTGTGCCAACAATATATTTACAGGTATATTTGAGGTTATAAAACATTGTAAACATGAATTACTATGATATGTGTATGT